TCCACAGGGGTTGCACCATTTTACACTCCCACCAACAGTGAATCAGGGTTCCAGTTTCTCCACAACCTCGCCAGCATTTGTTGCTTGCTGTTCTGTTATTATTTAGGAATCGTAATCTTCATTTCTTTAGTGTTCATTAGGGTTTTCCAAAGGCCTGTTATTTAGGAAGTAGATGGTCCATCCTATTTCCTAGACTGTCTTTATCAGAGAGCGCCCCCAAAACCTGTCCACCATGGGTAACCCTTTTAGCATTTGGCACACCCATGGCACAGATTTCAGTACCACAGAAACCCCAACTTATCTCAGTACACCAAACTGACAGACAAGTTCTGTACCATGTAGAACAGTGTTCTCCCCAAACAATTAGCACCTCTGCCCAACCAGCTTTTAAATACAAAGACCCACCCACCAGGTCCTGATTGCTTAAACAAGAGGCTTCCAGTGCACAGCTAATTGTTAATGAAATCAGAAACAGCCAATCAGCTTACACTTGGTTGTTAACAAAATCATAAATGCCCAAGCAATTTACACCACCTTTCAAGTAAATTAAAAAACACCCTCGAGAATCCAACAGCTCCAAGCTGGAGACCCTTCGTTTGAATTATCTTTAATTGTATTGACCTCATCTTCTGGCAGTAGCAGTATTCTGTTTCAGTTAGTGTTCCTGGATGAGGAGTGATTTCTAGAGAGGATTATTACTCTTACTAGGTTGCCAAGTGGTGGCATACTGGAGCATTGGTGAGAGAGAATTGTGGAAGCTAAGGTTCTGAACATAGGCTTGGTGATGAAAGCTTAGTTTATACTGATGAGTATCCTCTATGGTCTATGGCTGTGACAGGTAGTACTACAGTCCCGAGACTACAATGCACTTTCCATGTCTGTGATGGCATTTGTGGCAATGATCTACCCCCTGGAGTATATGTTCCCTGTTATCCCACTGCTTCCCACCTGCATGGCATCAGCAGAGCAGGTGAGTCTCTCGCTGTTCTCTGATTTTTGACATCTCTGTTTTGCAAAGCAGTACAAGTCTGAGGGAGAAGTCTCAGGACTCAGGAAAGTTTTAAGTCTGTACTGATCCTTAGTCCCTTACTATATCTTACTTCTTGTCAAAAGCTGACCTGACTGGAATGAATTTGGTTCCAAAATATATGCTATTCTTAGTACTTATTTATCATAGCTAGTGTTAATGATTATGGGCTAATAACACAAACTTCACCACAGGTGTTACATAATATACAGCATATATACATGTTACCTTTCTAAAATCTAAAACATCTGAAGTTTGAAACACATCTAGCTTCAAGGGTTTTGGAAAAGAAAATTTGTATGTACATTTTCTTATCCAGAAACATCTTTTCTGGGTAAATGAGATTTGTCATGACAGATTTTGTTCTCGTTTTCTTCTTTATCTTTCTTTACTTTACAGCTGCTGCTGGCTCCAACCCCGTATATCATCGGGGTCCCTGCCAGCTTCTTCCTCTACAAACTGGACTTCAAAATGCCTGATGATGTTTGGCTAGTGGATCTGGACAGCAATCGGGTAAGATTCTTGCCTGGGGGAGGTAGAGTCAGCAATAGGATGGTCTTTTGTTTTTCTATCTTACCCCCAGGAAGGGGTCCTAAGTTTTTAGGTGAAGTCTATACTGTGAGACTCATTGTAACAAAAACTATAATGTTCCTTTTTACTTTATTGGTCAAATAGTAAGTTGTATGAATAGACCCTTGGCTAGAATACAAAGAATTATAGGATTTAGTTTCCCAAAATTACATGCTGCCCTCACTCCACGCTCTTCGAGTGGTAGGCTGGAGTGTCAGGGCTTTCACATTTGTGTGGGTCATCTCCTTATGGCTTTCCTAGGGACTCAGTTTCCAGTAAAAAACTGTCTTTCAGCATGGACTTGGAATAAATGTATAATAACATCTACAGTGTGAGTAGATTCAAAGTTTATTCCCCCTAAAACTTGTTGCAGGTGGATTGGTTTCGACTCATAGCAACCTTATGGGACAACGTAGAATGGCCCCATAGGGTTTCCAAGGTAATAAATCTTTATGGAAGCTGACTGCCACATCTTTCTGCTGCAGTTCAAATGGCAGACCTTTCAGTTAGCAGATTACCTCTTAACCACTCATCATGAGGGCTTCTTCCAAATTTTGATAGGATTTCCATGTGTGTGTGTCCTTTCAATGTAAAATCGTAGAAAATACAAATAAGAACAAAGAAGAAAATAAAGTTATAAATCCTGTTATTTAGGGAGTTCTGGTGGCCTAGTGGTAAGAAGCTGTGCTGCAGTCCCAGAGGTGTGTGGTTCGAATCCACCAGATGCTCTGCTGGAGAAGGAGGATCAATCTCCTTCTGTACCAGTCAGATCCAATTTGATGGTACACACACACACACACCCCTATTATTTAGAGATAATAATCAATAACATTTAGGTATTTTTCCTTTCAGGTATTTTATTTGTAATGTGTGTCTTTATATTTCTAATATTAAATAGATTCCTACCCTTGTTATTTAACAAGGTGTAAGAAACTCATGAGCCATTTTAAAGATGCTTCTTCTCCTTTCCCTGCTGCAGGTGATTGCCCCCACGAATGCAGAGGTGCTCCCTATCTTACCGGAACCAGAATCATTAGAGCTGAAGAAACATTTAAAGCAGGTAGATAAAGGGTAAGAGGGAGAGGAGCTATAGGTGCTGTTGGATTGCTGCGGGCGGCTCTATCCCAAGAGCCAGTTTTCTTTCACAGTAAAGTGGGATAGATTTCTGTGGCTTAGGTTAGGCTGGGTTAGGCTGAGTTACATTCAGTCTTTGGAGTATTGCAGAGTCACTTCAAAGTGACTGTTGATCTCAACTGTTATACTTTATCTTCACTCTCTGGACATATTATGGGAAGGGCCCAGTCCTTGGAAAAGGATATTGTGCTTCAGCAATTAGAGGGTCAGCAAAAGAGAGGAAGACCTTCAACCAGATGAACTGCCACAGAGACTGCAGCAGTGGGCACAGCAGAGATTGAAAGGCTGGGGCAGGCACGGTGGTGGTCACTTGTACACAAAGTCACCGTAAGCTGGCTCGACAGCACCTAGCAACAACTATTTAAGAAAAGAAAGCTTTACGGATCCCTTCTCCTTTGTTGTATGCCCTACCGTGTCTAATGCTTATGTTGTTATATGAATTCCTGTTTCTTGTTCTGTCAGTCTTACAAGGTGGGATGAATTCCTGTTTCTTGTTCTGTCAGTCTTATAAGGTGGGATGAATTCCTGTTTCTTGTTCTGTCAGTCTTATAAGGTGGGAGTTAGTAATTTGAACAATCCAGCTCCTTTTACATTTTCTTTTATTAATTTATCCTTAGATCCCTATAACATCCTTTCTTCAAAAATTCCTTTTTTGAGTTATCTCTTAAATCTGTTTTTCATGGATTCATTTTTCCCCTTCTGCATGCTGAACCCAGTTTCTGAAGGTAAATGTGGTAAAGTTTCACCCTTTGCCCTGCTCTGTGTGTTGTGTAGAACTAACAGTAGATAGCACTGTCTTGTTGTTAAGAATCTCTGTTCCCTTTTGAGGGGTCTTCAGAACTCTCTCACTGTAATGTCTGTGGTATAGTACCTGGCAGTACCTCTCCATGAGAGCTTTTGGGGTTTCAGTGGGTCATTTTCTATCCTCTCTCACATTCTCACTTGCTTTCACTGCTGCTGTAATAGGGATACCATGTTACTGCAGTCTGGAGAGGAAGACAGACTCAGAAAGCTCTTAGCTGCTTTCTCTTGCTGTGCCTTTACTGGTGACTTGATAGATGAAATTAGGCATCAGATCTATAGGCTCTAAGGACCTTGGGCTCACAGATCTGTATTCTAACTCTTGCTTCTCAAAGTGTGGTCCGTTGACAAGCACTGATAGCATCACCTGTGCTTGTTAGACTTGTGACCTCATCCCAGGACTGTTGAATTAGAACTGCATTTTAATATCTGCAGCTGATCCCTGTGCTCATGTAGGTTTGAGAAGCGCTGTCCAGGGAGCCTCTGAGCAGTGGGCTTAGACTGGGAATACTCAGCATGTGCAACTCTGGGTCCTTACTCTTCTTCAGAGAAGCTCTACTTTTACAAGTTTCTATTTCACCACAGTATTTCAATTAAAAACCAACATTTTCATGGCTAAAATAACATTTGAAAACTATGCCCTGGACTGGAGATTTGATAAAGTCCTTGAACTAGAATGGTTGATTCATACCATTCCAATTATTTTCCAAAAGCAAAAACATTTGGGTTCTCATTGTAAAAATGAAGGCTTTGAAACAGGCCGTGATTTCAAAATTAGCCCAGAACTCTTCGAGCAGTGTGATGAGAAGATGGTAAGACGGCACTTTCTCCTAGGAGATGAGTTTGGCTAGCTTCCCAGGGAAGAACAACCTTAGGTGAGGAATTTCTTGTTCCATAGGCCTTAGCCAGCATGAGTCTCAACACCCAACCCATCCTCAATCTGGAGAAATTTCATGAGGGCCAGGAGATCCCACTTCTCTTGGGAAGGCCCTCTCATGACCTGCAGTCCACACCTTCCACTGAATTCAATCCACTCATCTATGGCAATGATGTAGATTCTGTGGATGTTGCAACCAGGTAAGACCCAGCCACTTGTGCATACGATCATGAGTTCTTAAATTGGTCCCTTTGCTCTCTCAGTGACCTGGGGGCAGATTACTTCTCTTATCCATTGTTTGCTTACATAAAGAAATAATGATATTTGATATCATTTGGCATAATATTTGGGTAACATTGTTACATTTGTCACTTTAATAAAGGCAAATAGAAAAAACACGCTATTCTCAGGGCTTTTAGGCTTAGAGGAAAGGTAGGTCGATGATGATTCAGAGTATCTCTCCCCTTGATGTTCCCTTGAGCCCAAGGTTTTGGGAGGTGGTATAAGTCCTTGAATGGTAGGAATCCTGACGGTGCAGGGTTTGGGACTCAGACGATCTCACCGTCCCATTCTTCCCCAGAGTGGCCATGGTACGTTTCTTCAACTCCCCCAACGTGCTGCAGGGCTTTCAGATGCACACACGTACCCTGCGTCTCTTCCCTCGGCCTGTGGTAGCTTTTCAGGCTGGCTCCTTTCTAGCTTCACGTCCCCGGCAGACTCCGTTTGCTGAGAAATTGGCCAGGACGCAGGCTGTGGAGTACTTTGGAGAGTGGATCCTTAACCCCACTAACTACGCCTTTCAGCGAATTCACAATAGTGAGTACACAGTACCTCCCGCGACTCCCTGCCTCTGCCCTTCCGGTTGCTTTTTCCTGCCCCTTTTCCCTTTATGCTCTCTGACCTGCCCCTTCCATTCCTGTTTCTTTAGACTTTCCCCTACATTTCTTTTCTTTTTCTTTTTCTTTTTTTTTTTAATGTGTGTACCATCAAATTGGATCTATGGATTTGAACCACATAGCTCTGGGATTGCAGTACAGCTTCTTGCCACTAGACCATCAGAGCTCTTCCCTCCCCTACATTTCTTTTGTATTCTATTTGTCCTCTCTTCCCTGCAGCTAATTGTTCTTTTCTCCTTTCTGGGTAGATATGTTTGATCCAGCCCTCATTGGTGACAAGCCAAAGTGGTATGCTCATCAGCTGCAGCCCATCAACTATCGAGTCTATGATAGCAATTCCCAGCTGGCTGAGGCGCTGAGTGTGCCTCCGGAGCGGGACTCTGACTCTGACCCCACTGATGACAGGTGAGTGTCCTTATGGCAACAGATCAGGTTTTTTTAAGGTAACGAGGCCCTCACCAGCCCTCATTTATCACAGATAATCTCATGATTTTAGAATCAGCTAACGTGGGGCAGGATCTCATAGGTTTTAGACATTGCTCTTTGAAGCCTCTTGTTACATTTTGGCTAATAGTTTTTTCCATGGTTTCCTTATTTTGTGCCCTGGCCTTAAGTTAGGAGTGCTCCTTTCTTTATTTGTCCTAGTGCTGATTGCAGATTCTTGCCCCTGCCCCTTCAGTCTTTTTAACGCTATTCTCTCTGCAGTGGCAGTGATAGTATGGATTACGATGGCTCCAGTTCTTCCTACTCATCCCTGGGCGACTTTGTCAGTGAGATGATGAAATGTGACATCAATGGTGATACTCCCAGTAAGTCCCTTCAGGGAGAGAGGTCCATGCTAAGGAGCAGGCCGGGGTTCTGAGGTGGCGTGGTCTCTAGCTGCGGGCCTGTGTTTGGGCAGATGTGGATCCTCTGACGCACGCCGCCCTGGGGGATGCCAGTGAGGTGGAGATTGACGAGCTGCAGAACCAGAAGGAAGCAGAAGAACCTGGCCCGGATGGCGAGACCTCCCAGGAAAATGCCCCGCAGCGTTCTAGCTCCAGCACCACTGCCAGCAGCAGTCCCAGCACTGTCATCCATGGAGCTAACTCTGTACGTGAGGATGGGGGGTGGTTAACAAGTGACAATGTTGGCTGGGCTGTGGCCCTCTTATCTCTATGAGGAAAGTATGAATTTGCCTCTCCCCTCATCCTCCTGTCTCTTCTTCTGTGTGTCCTGCAGCTTAGGGCCTATCAGAAACCATTCTGAACCCAGCAAGGGGCACTAGGTTTTGTTTAGGCAAAGCCGAGATTCCCCTGGGTTCTTTTGTGGAGAAAGCCGAGATTCCCCTGGGTTCTTTTGTGGAGAGTGAGAACAGGGGATTTTCTTCCTCCACGTTCTTGATCTGGTGTCGTTAAAACTGAGGCTGTAGGACAGCGTTCCTGGATGTGAGGTGACCGTTTCTCGTTTCATGTGGTCCACAGGAACCTGCTGATGCTGCAGAGCTGGATGATAAGGCAGCTGTAGGCGTCTCCAAGACTCTGCCTGCTGTGCCCAGCAGCATCGGCAAATCGAACGTGGACAGGCGTCAGACAGAAATTGGAGAGGGGTCAGTGCGCCGACGAACCTATGACAATCCATACTTCGAGCCCCAGTATGGCTTTCCCCCTGAGGAAGATGATGATGAGCAGGGGGAAAGTTATACTCCCCGATTCAGCCAGCATGTCAGTGGCCACCGGTGAGAGCCTGGGCAATCCCTTGTAAGTGGGTAACTGAAGGACCTCGCTGTTGTGGATCCTGGGCCAGGGGTAATCAGGAAGTCTGAGAACCGTGCACACCCTTGTGGTCCCAGAGGGTGGTCCTTTGCTGTGGAGATTAGGAATTTGGGGAGGGGCATGATAAGTAGCTTCAGGCCTGTCCTCCCAAGACAAGGTGCCCCTACCTGGGACTCATAGGTGCCACTGTACATTCCAAGGGCTCAAAAGCTGCTGCGGCCCAACAGCTTGAAACTGGCAAGCGACTCAGATGCAGAGTCAGACTCTCGAGCGAGCTCTCCCAACTCCACCATCTCCAACAACAGCACCGAGGGCTTCGGGGGCATCATGTCTTTTGCCAGTAAGTGTCTTTATGTCTTATCTCCCGTTCCTTCTCCACAGTAGGACCTGGCTGTGGCAAATGTGCTTAGAACTGCAAATACGGGGCTAGGTGGGCCTTATCAAGCCCCTTGGTATCATTCAGGTGACACTCAATGAGGCATTTTCAGGTGAAAACAGTAAAGGACAGGGATAGAGCAGTCATTATCTGGAGGTTTGATCTGTTTCAGATAAGAGCTGAATGGTCAGCTAAGAATTGGGTGTGATGTTCAAAAACCACACTGTCATGCATGGATTTCATGGAAATATGTTAGTCAGATTTGGTTTGTGTAGTTAGCCACCATTTTTTTTTTAGAGAATATGATTTCTAATACGATTTCTTCAGTTAAAGACTTGAGACAGACTGGGCACTAGGAAGAGTCCTCCAGGCGATGGCTGTGATTCCGAGTGAGACCAAAGGCACATTAACTCCTGGCTTTCAGTGTCTTCCCAGTGGGTGAAGGGCTTGGCAATTAGGAGACTCAGAGAAAGTTGTTACTGGGCTGTGAGCAATCCTGGCAGGGATTCCTGTGTTTGTCCTGAGTTAGACATGATCCATTTTAAAGTAGATCCGAGGAACTGGGATTATATTTGAAAAGGAGGGAGGTGAAGATGCCGGTACAGCCATAGGGATATAGAGCTGAGTGTTTCCCACCCTGACTCATTGCTCTCACACTGCCCTCCCCTTTGATAGGCAGCCTGTATCGGAACCACAGTACAAGCTTCAGTCTTTCCAACCTCACATTGCCCACCAAAGGTGCCCGAGAGAAAACCACGCCTTTCCCTAGTCTGAAAGGTAATTGCAGCCCCTCGTTTGCCAAACCAGGAGTCTCTGGGAAATATTTCAGGGCTGTGGGTCCTTGTCGAGAAGCCTCTGTATGACGAATCATCTCATCTGGCTGTTTCCCTCATGTTGCTTTCCATGGTTTTCACTGCATGCTGTTGGCTCTTGATGGCTGTCAGATGGGAACTCACTTTGTAGCTAGAGACAAGACCTCGATATGTCATTTAAGGTGGGGTTACACCTGTTTTAGGGATAACTTTGTCGGATTAATGATTAATACAGAGATCATCAGCTGCGAGGTTGCTGTTATTGCATAAACTTCAGCATGAAGTCCATCCTGAGGAACTGGCCTGCCAGAGGATGGCAGTGGTCACTGTTCATGAAGTCAGGGTGCTTCTGACTTTGGCTGCCTGTCAGCCCAGGGCAGTGGCGGGCCAGATGGTATAGGTTGGCTTCTTAGGGAGGTAATGGAATTTTTGATCTCTAACAAGTCTGAGGAACTGAATTTAGTCTGACTTCTGTCTCTCCTGGAATTTTAGTGCTGACATATTTCACTGTGGTAGGAATGACAATGAGAAGCAGCACTGGGTATTATTTAACTGACCTCTCCCATCCCTCATGATTGAAAATGCTCGAGGTCTTAGGAGTGTTCTTTGGTGTGAATAGGAACGTAGCCTAGGTAGGCAAAAGGATTCCAAAGAGCTCTCAAATTCAGCTCGTTTTCATGGAGTTGGAACCAACTCCTCACAGGTTTTCAGAAGGAGCTGGAACCAACCTCTAGCAAGTTTTCAGAAGCTATAAATCTCATGAGAGGAGATTGCCCATCTTTCTCCTGTGGTACAGCTCGTGGACTCTATAACCACCTGCTTTGTATTACTAGGCTACCACAGCTCCCTACCACAGTGGCTTAGGGACCTAAAGAACATTGCTACAGTGGATCCACATGGGCAGGTTAAGGGTGGAAAAGTGTTACTGTTACTGGCTTTGCATTTGATGCATTTGAAGAGGAGAGTAACAGAAACTCTTCTAGTAAGTTGCTGATACTTCATCTCATTTGCTTCGTTTATTCTTCCCATTGACCTGCCATCCTAACAGCCCCACCCCACAGTGGTGTCTGCAGGATGAATCTCTTCCTGGCCCCCTATGCTGGATGTTTTGTGTAAACCAATGGTTCTTCTTTCATGCATGTGCCTGGATAGTACCTGACAGCTCCCTGTGTCATTTACACTGCTTATACTGACGGCAGTCTTCATGGATAGCCTTCCCTAGAGCCCTCAGCCAGCCACTGGCCACTCGGATCAGACTTGCAGCTCTAGGAGTCAACATTATGTGCACTGTTCAGGCTTTGTGAGACTGCTCCACGAAGGGATGTAGGGGTTGGGATACTGTGGTGCACCTACTAATTGTGTATTTTGTGTCCCAGTATTTGGGCTAAATACTCTAATGGAGATTGTTACTGAAGCCGGCCCCGGGAGTGGTGAAGGTGGGTCTTGCCTGTGAGCTGTGCATGATCTTATTTTTTCCCCCTTAGCATCTTCTGTGCCTGCCTGAGGGCCATTCTCCTCTGGAGCAAGCGGCATCACATGAGTGACCTGCCTTGCCCCACCCCCTGTGACGCCCATGCTTGCCCATGGGGCGTGCTGCTGGTGCATGTGGGGTGGCCTGAGTCACCGTCCCCACCTCCTCCACATTGCCATGGCTGGTGTCTACCTGTGTGTGATGCCCTGGCGCCACGCTCCCCCAGCCCTTCTGGGGAACGGGCGTGGCACGTGGCTTCTCAAGAGCTGTGCTAACACCAGCTACGAGGCTATGAGAGTGATGTGTCTCATTCCTACCTTCCTGGCTCTAGGAAACAGGAGGGCCTTAGTGGATCAGAAGTCGTCTGTCATTAAGCACAGCCCAACAGTGAAAAGAGAGCCTCCATCACCCCAGGGTCGATCCAGCAATTCTAGGTAATAAATGGCAGAGGGTAGAGGTGGTGATTCCTGTACAGAACTTTAGGGTTGCTCAAGAGTGGGAGAGAAGCTGTCAGTGAGTAGATGAAATTGGTGCCCTGCCAGCACTTCCCATTGTGACTCAGTCTCCAGGCACCTGTAACAGCTTAGATGGTGAGGGGGGTGACACAGCAGGTGGGTACATGGAGCATCTGGACGGATGGCAGAAGCCCTGGATTAGATAACTGAAGACTTGGCTTTGTTTTGCCCCTGGAGGCAAATACCTAGTCAGGTGAACGGGGGGAGGGTTTTCTCTGCAAAGGAGCTTTTGCTCACAGAGGTGGTGTGTGGGCCCCCTAGTGAGAACCAGCAGTTCCTGAAGGAGGTTGTGCACAGCGTGCTGGACGGCCAGGGCGTGGGCTGGCTCAGCATGAAGAAGGTGCGGCGGCTGCTGGAGAGCGAGCAGCTGCGAGTCTTTGTTCTGAGCAAGCTGAACCGCACCGTGCAGTCAGAGGAGGATGCCCGGCAGGACATCATCCCCGACGTGGTCAGTGTTTGGGGCTGGGGGTTGGGGGCCTCTGGGGAGCAGGGTGTGGACAGTAAAGGGAATTTTGCCAACGCCAGCCCCTGGGTTATTGTTGCAGGAGATCAGTCGAAAGGTGTACAAGGGAATGTTAGACCTGCTCAAGTGCACAATACTGAGTCTGGAGCAGTCGTATGCCCACGCAGGGCTGGGCGGCATGGCCAGCATCTTTGGGCTTCTGGAGATCGCCCAGACCCACTACTATAGTAAAGGTAGGGATGGGACCAGAGGGGCATCATGCCATCTCCAGCTCTCACTTGTCTACAGGGGACGGTGAACGTCCTTGTTCCTGCGACAGTTTCCCAGTGCCAAGCAGCTTCCCGTCAGGCTTTGGAATTTTACGTTCTAGCTCACATCTGTGCATAATGGTGTTTCTCTGGTGTGGAAAATCCTGTGGCTTTTTCTTTCCTTGTACTTTTCCCATTCCGCATCCTCCTGGACCTTGGCTTCTTCCATCTCATTTCCATACCTTCGTTCCCACTCACTTGCTCTTGACTTCTTGCCATATTTGATCTCTTCCTCAGAACCAGACAAGCGGAAGAGAAGTCCAACAGAGAGTGTAAATACCCCAGTTGGCAAAGATCCCAGCCTGGCCGGGCGGGGGGACCCAAAGGCTATGGCACAGCTGAGAGTTCCGCAGCTGGGACCTCGGGCCCTAGGTGCCACAGGAAAGGGTCTCAAAGAACTGGACACCAGAAGCTTAAAGGAAGAGAACTTTGTCGCCTCTATTGGTATGTATCCCTGGGTTCGTTGTGGTAGAGGGGCCTTGGCTTCTTAAATGTCCTTCTTCCTCTCAATTCATTCAGAATCCCACCTTTCTACCCCCCACGCTTTGCATTCCAGAGAGGGATACAAGTCCGTCCGTTTCAGATGGTGATTCTTGATGTTATTTTCTTGCACTTGTACTTGGTTTTCAGCCTGCCTGGCTTCATCTTAGAGGAAGAGTGGTTTGGTGTAGAGGACAAAGGGAGGCTTAGTGCAGGGAGTCTTGAGCTATTCTCCTGGGTCCCTTTTTCATTTACAGCCGATTTTCCTCATTCACGTAGTAGAAGGGTCATGGGAGTGCCTGGAATCGTGGGGAAGTTTATAGATGCATTATTTGGGCTATAAACTTGGAATTGTCTGGCTCTGAAGCCAGTTTCCCCCACTCAGCCATCCCTCTGTCCTTGACTTTGCTCCTCTGAGGCTTATATGGCTACTCAGTTGTTCTGAGTTCTTGACCTCAGAAGTGTAGATTTCTGAGTCAGCTGCTCTGTAAGCCTTTCCTCACTAGACCTGGTTAAGTTTGCTTATGTTTGGTATTTCTCTGTTACTGCTAAGTCAGCACCGTCATGAAGTCTCTGGGAACCACCTCTGTTTTGGCTCACCCCATACTTACTTTTTAGTCATCTAGGTTAAGTCTTTTTCTGGATCTAGGTCCCTGAGAAAATACGCTTCCAGTTCATTCCTGTTTGTCACAGCCATGAGAACTCACCTTATGCATGACCCATGAAAGGTCGTCAGGAAGCTCTTTCCTTTTAATTGGAAGCAGGACTTCTCTAGCCCAGCATAATACTGTCTTAGGGGCCGTCAGTGCCAGCTGTCTTTGTCCTGATGTGACGTTCTAGAAAAGAGCCCTAACGCGTGATCTGGGAGTCTGGAGTTTTACTCCTGTCCTTTCCCCAGCTAAGAATGCAGCTTTGAGCAAATCACTGCCCCTTCTCAGCGTCTCCATCTTGTCTGTGAAATGAGAGTGGACTAGGTGATCCATGAAGATCCCTCCAGGGAGAGTCACTGTGCGTAGTGTTCGCTTCTCTACTCCTATTAAGATGCTATTCTTGACCATTTTATGTTCCCTCTCGACTCTCCTGGAACTAGGGAAGGAACTTCATTTCCCTTTTCCAGCCCCAGATCAGTTGAAATGACCAGCGCTTGGACCAAATAAAAGCATTTTTCTGGATGACTAGCTCAGAATGACCTCTTAGTAGAGCAGACACACTGATTCTGAGAGTGAGTGGGGGTTTTTGATAGCACAGGAGGGACTGTAACAGCCACGTGAATCAGATCTCTGCTTGTGCTTCTAAAACCCTTTGACTGCTCCAGGTGGCCACCTCTCTCCATCTAGAATCTTTACAATTTGCCATTTCCCAGAAGGGGAAGCTTGTTGGACAGAGCCAAGATGGTGTTTTGTTGTTGTTGTTATGTGCCATCGAGTCGCTTGCGACTCATAGTGACCCTATGTACAAGAGCTCTAAATGCTGTTCTATCCTGTGTCAACCTAGCCACCTCAAACCCACTTCTTCCCACCGCTCCAGTCACAGAATTGATCCATCTCACCAAAGGTCTTCCTCTCCTTCGCCGCCCCTCCACTCTGCCAAACATGATGTCCTCTCCAAGGACCAGTCCCTCCTTTGCAACATGCCCAAAATATGTCAGATGAAGCTTCAGAATCCTTGACTCCAGGGAACACTCTGGCTTCACCCTCTCCAGGACAAACCTGTTTGTTCTCTTAGCAGTCCATGGTATATTCAACACTCTTCTCCAGCACCACAGCTCAAAGGCATCAATCCTCCTCCTATCAACCCTATTCACTGTCCAACTCTCTGATGCATAGCACATAATTGCAAAGACTATAGCCCGGATCAGGTGCACCTTAGTCTCCAGCCTGACATCGTTGCTCTTCAGTACTCTTGATGATGTGGTGAGAAGATTAAACAGACTTTTAGTTGTCTGATCTTAAGCACATGCTTTAGTTTCCTCTTGCTGAAATGAAGTCGTCTGCTCTTAAGGTCTTCCACTCTAGCTTTCTGCAGGGAGTTTGCTGCCAAGTTGGGGTTTAAACTAGGAATCTGTCGTCTAGCTCCCAAGCTTAGAGGAAGACATTGGTTCTCTTGGATTTTCCCCAACCCCCAGCTGAAATGAGCATATCTTTTTATTCCTTGACTTGTAATCCTGTGTCCGATACTGAATCAACTAGGGTGGGTGGGTTTCCATTTCGTCTGTCTGACCAGCCTCTGACTCTGTCTGTCTTTCTCTCCTGCTTGCATTGCATCTGGGGTAGAATTGTGGAACAAGCACCAGGAAGTGAAAAAGCAAAAAGCTTTGGAAAAACAGAGTAAGGAACAAATGCCCCTTCCTGTTCCCAAGTCTCCCATACCTGCCAACTCCCCAGGCCCAGTTGGGGCAGACTCCCTTTGTCAGCCTCACCCAAAATTTTCCTCTTGGGAGGGCAGTGGTGTATTCAGATTGAGTTAAAGCAGGTAGGAGGTTTGTGATTCGTAGGTATATGGTTTATAGGCTGCTGCTTCTAGCCACCCCCACCCCTACCCCCACTATCAGGGTATGAGCAGGGTGTCTGCTGAGTAAAATCTCTCAGAACTTGGTTCTCTGTTGCTTCAGTTTTGGTGGGGAGAATGCTTGCCTATTCAGTGCCCCTCATTGACTCGTATCTCCCCACCTGTTTGGAGGCCTGTGGGTACAGTTGGCAGAGATGGTTGCTGTCCCTCCGTGTTGAGTCTGTAGCTCTCCAACTCTCTGGTGGCTTGCCTAGGCACGCTTTCTTGCTTTCTGTCATTCTGTCCTTCTGCCATACCATTGTGGGTGGGTGGGGAAAAATGGGGGTGGTGTCTGTCACAGATGTACAAATTATAGGGTGGGATAGGCAGTGTCCAGGGAAAGAGCTGAGGTCTCTATCTCATTGGCCTACCCTTTTCTAGCCCTTTGGAGACATTTGATTGTTAACTACTGAGTGATATGGGAACTCCTAATTGGTTTCAGGCACTAGTGAAACTTGGTTTCTTGAGTGCGGTGGAATGTGGTTTAGATATTTGTTTATGGAGCTCTTCTGTGTTCCGATGATTTGCCTGCATATTCTCAGGTTGAGGAGATGGCTGCAGAACCCCTTGAGACCAGGTCTAATTCATCTTACTTGGTTCTTAAGGCATCTGGGAATTTCTTCCAGTGTTTCCTGAGGGACAGTCCCTGGAAAGGTGACTGGGGCATGCTAAACAGGCCTGGACCAGGCTGTGCTGCTGTCCTGCTCCCTTCACCAGCCTGTCCCTGTCCATTTTGCGCTGAGTAATGAGAAGTCTTCCCCTACTTAGGGCCTGATGCGATCAAACCTGCCTTTGACCTTGGTGAGACAGAAGAGAAAAAGTCCCAGATGAGCGCAGACAGTGGTGTGAGCCTAACATCCGGTTCCCAGGTTTGTGAAATCCTTGTTGAGAATTGGGAGAATCAGATTTTCCACCTCAGGATATGAGGTTTTTTTGGAGAGCAGGGTGGGAAATTACATTCTCTAAGCAACAAAAATGCTCAATAATAGAATGATTAAACAGACATATTATATCTTTGTAATACAGTCTTCAAAAGTCAAAGTCATTCCCATTGAGTTGGAAACGACTCACAGCTCACCCTCCATTGGGTTCCAAGGCTGTAAATCACACAGGACGAAACTGACCATCTTTCTCCCTCAGAGGTGCTGGCGGATTTGAACCACCAGAAACGTATCACCTTTAAGTTAACAGTGCAACTCCCTCTGGAAGATGCTGTAACCTTAGTAGTCATTAAAGATTGGTTTTAAAATAGGAGTTATATGGAAAAATATTTTCAAAGTCACATATAGTATGATTCCAGTTTAATTTTTAAAATATATGTAGGGAAAACTGAAAGGAAACACACTCAAAACTTCACAGTGGTTAATCCAAGTGGCAGATTTAGGGCTTATTTTTATCTCCCTCAAGTATTTTCTGTAATGAGCATGTATAACCTTAATGTCTATTATTTTTATTGTACAAGTCACATATGTTTTATATCTGGGGGAAAAAACATTTAAAAAAATAGCTCTCCTGGATGTCCTAATAGAAGACTAGGGGATAGGAAAAAAAAGAGAAGGAAGGGACGGGGTTGAGGAGGGAGACTGAGAGCTGATTGGACAGCTCCCCTGACATGCCCACCTCCCTGTGTCTTGTTTCAGAGGACTGACCCAGACTCTATCATTGGTGTGAGTCCAGCTGTTATGATCAGAAGCTCAAGTCAGGATTCTGAAGTTAGCACCGTGGTAGGGGAACACCACATTGGCATCTTGGTGGATGGGATGTGGATTTCTCTTTTGGGGGGTTCTTCTTAATCTCCGATCAGCAGGGTTCTCGTGGTAGAGATACTTTACCTGTCATAGGTCTGTATACTTGGGGTCAGACCCTGAGCTTTCATCCAGGGCTTCCCCTCATAAAGAAGGTACTTCACGAGACTGCTGGACTTATCTTTGGAATTTAATCATTCCTTATGATGTCAGCGAGCTCTAACAGCTTGGCATTTCTGGGACCCTTCCTTGGGAAATAGCCCTTACTACCTTTTTTCCTTTCCAGGTGAGTAATAGTTCTGGAGAGACGCTTGGAGCAGACAGTGACCTGAGCAGCAACGCGGGTGATGGACCAGGTGGCGAGGGCAGTGCCCACTTGGCAAGCTCTCGGGCCACTCTCTCTGATAGTGAAATTGAGACCAACTCTGCTACAAGCGCCATCTTTGTAAGCTTTTTTTACTAACCAGGGAAGACGTTTGCTTTCATGGGGAAGGGAGGGGTACTAGAGCAGAATGAAAAGTTAAGAGACAAGAAGAAGAAAAGATGAAGTAAAGAATGGAGTCTTGTTAGGTGTCATCAGTTTGTTTCTGATGCGCGGTGACCCCATCAACAACAGAATGAAACCCCACCCTTTCCTGCATCCTCCCCAGAGTCATCGCTGTCTTTGAGTCCATTGTTGGAGCCACTGTGCCAGTCTCTTCCCATAAGATCGTCCTCTTTTCTGTTGATCCTGTTTTAACAAGCCTGATGTCCTGCTCCAGGGACTGGCTCCTTCTGCTAACATGCCTTAAAGCAAGTGAGATGAAGCCTCCCTGTCTTCACTTCTGAGGAACATTCTGTCTGTACTCCTTACAAGACATATTTGTTTAAATCAAAGAACAAACAAAGCAATGGATGATTCTCATATGTGTCACTTGAAAGAGAATATTTTTTAAGGCTTTTTTCAAAATCACTTGACTATGATATGGGACTTTTAGAGCCCTCTCTCAGTTAATCGATAAGTTAGGCTTCTTGCCCAGACAGTAAGGGCTTCAGTTCCTATGTAGTGATAACCCTGTGCTTCAAATAGACAAAGCAGTGCCTTCTTGGCAATAGTGGACAGAAGGTTATGTGACTAAGCCCGAGGTGGACGATTTTAATCTGTGGCTCCCAGGCCTGGTTTAAATTGTTGTTGGTGTTTTGTTTTTTTGTTTTCAAACATTCTTCTATGTGCACTGGTCTGTGCATTGCTGTACAGAGGTAACTCGTGGTTGCTGTGAAGCTGAACACTGTGACACTGATGTAAAACAAGCTTGGAAGCAGGAGTGGCATCCACTTCCAAAGTAGCTTGTCTCCAGAAACTCAATCAACAGTACTCAGGTCTTCCGTTCATAGGGTCGCTATGAATTGTCTATGACTTGACACTTAACAACAACAGTTCAGTCTTTTTTTGTACTGCTTTGTATAGAACTTTAAAATTTTATTTCTTTTGGTATATTCTCTCTCTTTTTAAATTGTAGTTAGAGTAAGTTTACAAAGCTAATTAATTTCCCATTCAGCAATAAAGCCTGAAACCAGTTCCTGAGATAGTTTTTTAATCAGGTAGGATAGAGTCAAGGTCGAATTTCAGTTCTTTTGCAATCTCAAGCTGAAGCTAAAGAAAATGAAATCCACAAGAATCAAAAGAATGCTCTCCTTTTCTTGGTGGGGGCTGGGCATGCGGTCCTGGTCCCCATTATGTACGGAGGCGAAGGGAGAGGGCTCCGGCCCCCTCGGCGTCATGTCTTCGGTGCCGGTGGCTTCCTGTCCACTGGTTCTATCCTCAAGCACCGAGACAAAGAGGAAAAAAAAAGACTTAAAAGAAGGCAAAAAAGATGGAAGGAGTGGAGTACACAGAGTCCCTGCCTCAAAAAGAACTGGGTGACAGAAGAATTTCACAAAACAGCATATCATCAGTTCAATGTTAGGCTTCAATATTATTAAGATTGTCTAAGGGCAAGTTGTGGAGAGCTCTGGTGGCATAAGTGGTAATAAGCTGCACTGCAATTCCAGAGGCGCATGGCTCAAATCCACCAGCTGCTTCCTGGGAGAAGGATGGGCATTCTTCTGTGTGATTTAGCCTTTGAAAACTTCCTGGAGGGTTCTGATTGAACAGCACACAACAACAAGGGTTAGTTGTCATGTTGGAAGAGAATACAGAATATCCCCTGGACAGCCAAAAAAAAAAATGCATCTGTCTTGGAGAAAGCGCAGCCAGAATGCTTCTGAGAGGCCAGGATGGTGAAGCTTCGTCTCACTTACTTTGGGTATGTTGTTGGAAGAGGCAGTTCCTTGGTAAAGGACATCATGCTTGGGAAGGTGGAAGGTCAGTGAAAGAGAGGAAGACCCTTAACCGGATGGATTGACACAGTGACTGTAGCTGTGGGCTCAGGTATGATAAGAGGATAAGGATGGCACAAGATAAGACAGTTCAAATCTGTGGTTCATGGGGTCGCTGTGAGTCATACTCAACACGATAGCACCTCACAGCAAGGGCCAGCCTTTGGGTTCCACTGGACTCTGTCAGAACAGTAAGCATGGTCCTTTTTATTTATTTATTTTTTAATTTTATTTTTCTCTTATTATTTGTGTGTGTGTGTACCATCAAATTGGATCTTACTGGTACAGGAGGAGATTGTCCCTCCTTCTCTAGTAGAGCATCTGGTGAATTCAAACCACGTACCTCTGGGATCTTGTCACTAGGCCACCAGAGCGCCCCAGTCCTTTTTATTATTTTGAGTTTTGTTCCATGTTTTTTCTCCCACTCTATTAGAATAGTCAGCAGCAGTTCCCTGGTACTGTCTTCTGATCACAGGGACATGGAGGCTGGAGTTCATGTGGCCCATTAGTCTTTAGACTAATTTTGGAATGAATTCTTTTTCTAAAACATACTGCCTGAGACACACTGCTTTTCAGTGTGTACATGTCCCTTTCAGGTAGTGTTAGTGTTTTAGTATGATTGCCATTTTTTTCAAGTGAAAGAGTGGTTATTCTCTATGCTGTTGTTGTTGTTAAGTGCTGTCAAGTCGCAAGCGACTCATAGCGACCCAATGAAGGAGAGTCCTCGCCGCTTGGGTGCCTTTCATCCTCTCTCCAGGTTCATAGGGTTTCTGGAGGCAAGCTATTATGGAAGTGGATGCCACTCCTCCTTCCACGCTTGTTTTAATCAGGGAGCTCCACCCTACTCTCTGTCCACATTGGGTAACCAGCCATTAATGCATTTGACACATCAGTGTCACATTGTTCAGCCTCACAGCAACCACAAGTGACTGCTGTACGGCAACTTGTACACCAGGGCTATACGACCTAGAGGAATGTCTGAATAAAAACAGTGCGGCCCTCGGGCCCTTGTGGGCTTGAAACCGCCTGCTGCCTTCAACCCTAGGCCAAGCCTGGCTTGCCTGGCTCCTGGAGCCAGAGTAGTCCTTTACGTCCAGAAGCTGCCACAACACCGATGCACACAGCACAGCACCATGCTCTCTCTGGTAACCAGGTCACAGCAGCCCTGGGTGGAGCAACCCTGGGAGAATATGGCCCGCCTCCTCTCCCCTCTTCCCCTTTTTGGGTTGTTCTCTATAGGAGCTTTAATTTTCTTTGCTTTATGGTAAGAATGGAAGATTAAGTGGAATAAAATGCTTGATTGTCATGATTATACCTACATATAGGGTCCTTTGTGTATGTCCTGCTAATAGAACAAGGACAGCTCAGAGTGAATGTAGGGAAGAGGATGGAGTCAGCAGAGCTATTCGGATGAACGGCTCTGAACCCTCGCTGAGTCTAAACAGGCTGATTTGAATAAGAATATTTTATATCCTTCCCATGTACTGCTATTCTGGACTTTACGATAAATGTTGTTGATTGCCTTCGAATCGAGCACAACTCATAGTGATCCTATGAACAAAAGGCCTGAAGCCTTTCTATAACTATTGACATTCATCAAAGTTCATAGATATTAGGGAATAACATGCTATCTTACAAAAACCTATTTAGCTGTGTGCCACCTTTCTTGGTGCCTTCTATAGGACAAATTCTTATTTACTGACAGGCCATGGCTTTGCATAATTAAGTTACTAAGAGCTGTTACCTAAACTTAGTTCAAAACTTTTGGCAAGAAATAGAATATGTTCAGTTACTGTGCTTCATTGGATAAATTATTAGACTGTGAAGCAAAAGATACTTAGTTAAACCTTTGCCTAATGACCTTTGATCAGTTGCTGCTTTGCTTATTTTGTTTCATGTGTTGTGAAAAGGGATGGTATTCCCTATCTATCACATCATTGAAAACCTATCTTGAATGAATAGAAAGTCTAGTATTTCAGAAGTGGTAGGTAAAGGTGGTGCTATTTATTTTTTTAAATTTTATTAATTTTAATGAACATTTACAGAGATTTTGGATTTCCATTCATTCATGCATTTCCCCCCCCCCGCCCACCCCTCCCCCACAGTTCGCTCTTCTCTTTGAAAAGTAAAATTCCTTCATTGGTATACAGTCCTCCCCTGCGCCATCCCCCACCCAAAGTACACTCCACTATGCAACCATTCTGGACTAAGGGAAAGTATTGTTGGGTCTCGTCGAGTCTCCTAGCAACTTCATGTGATAGAGTAGAGCTGCCCCACTGGATTTTCAGACTAAGCTCTTTACAGGAGCAGATCTCCACGTCTTTCATCCCGTGGAACCACTTAGTGGATTAGAACTGCCAACCTCTAGGATTGACAGCCCAGTGCTTAACCATTGCACCAAAAGAGAACAAAGGAAACAGGAAAATGAACATTTATCAGATACTAACCATGTATTTTCTTTTTTTTTTAAATCATGTATTTTCAAGTTTCATAGTCTTATGATGGCTATTATAGCATTCATTTCATGCATAAGAGGTACAGTTCATGCCCCAGTTCATACAGCAAAAATACGGGATCTGAGGCTCAGTCTGACTTCATACCCTGTGAACTTTTTACTGTATGGTGCTGCAACACAGAATATGTCCAATTTTTTGGTTGGTTTTTTTTTCCCAAGAGAAAAATCTAATCAACTGGAGAGTAAAAGGAAGTTAAAGACTTGCTTGCATAATTTAGGAAACATGGATTATGAGATTGGCTTTTTTGACAAATATTGATAGCATGCAGGCTGGTGGCGGCAGAGTTAGCGTGCTCATGGCTGGCCCCTGATGTATGAGCTAATGAGCTGCATGGTTTTCTGTGCCCTGTTCATTGATGCCTCTGGCAGCTGACCTGTAACCTCTTCCCTCTAGGGTAAAGCCCACAGCTTGAAGCCAAGTGCAAAGGAGAAGCTGGTGGGCAGCCCCATCCGTGCTTCTGAGGATGTAAGCCAGCGGGTATACCTCTATGAGGGACTCCTAGGTGAGAAACAGACTGGGATGGCCCCTTACCTCGGGAGAAAGCTGGGCTTAGCCAAGGGATAGGGTAGCACTGAACCAGAATCAGTGGTTAATATTAAGTGGCATTTTCACATAAGTTGGCAAGCAACTTACTGGGTCTGGAGAAATCAGTGGGTAAAAATGAGAAGAGAGTGGATTTTGGTGTTAATCAATAGCCTCTCTGTCTTTCTGTCTTCCTTTCCTTCTTTTCTTGCTACCATGATCCTTCCTGCTCACAAACTGGCAGGAAGGGACAAAGGATCCATGTGGGACCAGTTAGAGGATGCTGCTATGGAGACCTTTTCTATAAGTAACCACCTTTCTTTGTGTGCTGTGTTCAACCCTCCTCCTCGGGAGGGACTGGGTCTGCCTAGCAGGCAACTGGGGCCGGCGGCAGGAACATTAGATGTGGGGTAGAGAGACTTGGAATTCCACTATTCTCTAATTTGTGCTGCCTCCCCTTGCTCTGGAGTTTACTCTTTATTTTGGCTTGGAAGTTAGTTTGTTTACATGTTAAATTATCCCCTCAGCAAACACTATTCCCCACAGGCAAGGAGCGTTCTACTTTATGGGACCAAATGCAGTTCTGGGAAGATGCATTCTTAGATGCTGTGATGCTGGAGAGAGAAGGGATGGGTATGGACCAGGGTCCCCAGGAAATGATCGACAGGTATGAGTCTTAGGAAACTTTTGGGGATCTAAATTCAACCCCCTCCTAGTTAGATTCTGCAAATCCCACCTGACTCCTGTTGGGTTCTCTGCTCAGGTACTTGTCCCTGGGGGAGCATGACCGGAAGCGCCTGGAGGATGATGAAGATCGCTTGTTGGCCACCCTTTTGCATAACCTCATTTCCTACATGTTGCTAATGAAGGTAATGCCAGTTTATTTCCGGCTACTGTTCATACAGTCTCAATTTTGAGGCAGTGGAGATGTCAGAGTGTTCACTAAGCTGCTATTTGTGATTAAAAACTGATGATTCTCTGAGAACTCATGTTCTTTCATTCATCATCACGTAATTCATTCATCTGAAACTACCAGGCTGTTTGCCTAGATACGTGTGAAGATAATTGATGACTCTCAAAAAAAGCAACAACCTCAAAACCCAAGCTTATTCCCATCGAGTCTTTTCTGACACTTAGTGACCCTGTAAGACAGGGTAGAGCTGCCCCGTAGGGTCTTCAGGGTTGTAAATATTTAGATCTGCTGGTGGGTTTGAACTTCTAGCCTTTAGGCTGGCAGTCACATCTTTAACCACTGGGTCACTAAGATCACACCATATTCTTTATTTACTTTGAATTTTAAATTGTCTCCCTTTGCTGAGTGTTATGTGCTTTTGAGTTGCCTACAACTCTAATGACCTGATGTACAACAGCTCTTAAGCCTGCCCTTTACTTCCCTCACTGACTCTGACACACCTACTCCCATTGCCCCAGTTACTGTATCAATCCATCTCATCTGGGGTCTTCCTCTACTGCACTGTCCCTCCACCCTTCCAAGCCTAATGTCCTTCTCCAAGGACTGGTCCCTCCTGGCCACGTGCCCAAAGTATGTGAGATGGAGCTTCAAAATCCTAACCTCCAAGGAAAAACTTGGTTTCACCCTCTCCAAGACACATCTGTTTGTTTTCTTCGTGGTCCATGGTATGTTCAAGACTCTTCTCCAGCACCAAAACTCAAAGACATCGATTTCTTCTTCTGTCATCTTTAGTCATTGTCTAGCTCTCTGATGCATAGCAAGTAGTTGCAAAGACATCAAATAGAGCCACCCACAGAATAAAATTAATTAAAAACATTTGAAGTAATATGTTCTAAACCCTTCCCTTACTTACATTGCATTGACTCGATTCTGACTCATAGTGGCTCTATAGGACAAGCTCAAATGGCCCTTGGGGTTTTTGAAGCTTTATGGAAGTAGACTGCCACGTATTTCTCCTGTGGAGCAGATGGTGGTATGAGCTGCCAACAGCCAGGTGAATGGCCGAGTGCTTTAACCTCTGTGCCACCATGGCTCTCCTCAGCCTTAAAAAGAAAGCCTCAAATTAATTTTAGCCCCAAATGAGAAAAGTAAAATTGAACTGTGGTGTTGGAGGAGAGTGACTGCTGAAAAAAAAAGGTATGTCCTGGAGTCCTTCTTGGAGGTGAGGGTGTGAAGCTGCATCTTGCAGACTTTGGGCGTGTTGTTGGGGGAGACTGTTCATGCTTGGAAAAGTGGAGGGGCAGCGAAGTCTCCCCAACCAGGTGGATTGACATAGTTACTGCAGCAGTGGGCTTGAGTGTGTCAGAGATTGTGACGATGGCACCGGACAGGACAGGGTTCTGATACGTTGTTCATAGGGTCACTCTTGAGTTGTACTCAACTCGATGACACCTAACAACAACAACATCTTCTAGAGTTAAGAATCATCATCTTCTCTCAACCCAAGTTGTCTGGTAACCTTAAAGTATGCATAAAACAACAAAAAAATGTAGATAAACCCAAAGAGCTTACAGGGCATTCTCTGTATCTCATCACGTAATCCCTTCAGATTCAGGGATGCTCGGGAGAAGAGGAGCAGGAGAAACTTAGAGGCTCAGTGTTAAAGCAAGTCTTTACTTGCCGCCCTGCTGAACTATTGCAGAAAGTAGCATATAATCAAGAACCAGTGGTAATGAAGGAAGATGTGAAAGCTGCATTGAAGGTATTAACAAAAATAATAAGGCCTCAGGAATTGGTGGTGTTTCAACTGAGGTATTTCAACAAACAGACACAGTCCTGAGTGTGCTCACTAGCCTATACTAAAACATTTGGAAGATAGCTAACTGGCCCACTGACTGGAAGAGATCCTTATTTGTTTCCATTCAAAAAACAGGTGATTCAGCAGAAAACAGAAATAATCAGGGAGTATCATTAATATCCCATGCACGTAGTAGTCTGAAGATTATTCAGAGATGGCTGGAACAGACATTGACAGGAATCTGCTGGAAATAGCCTAGAATGAGGGATATCATGGGTGATGTCAGATGGATCTTAGATAAAAGCAGAAAATAATTGGATATTGTGCTTTATTGACTATACAAAGACTGTGTGGATCATAAAAAATTATTGCTGACATTGAGAAGAATAGGATTCCCAAAACACTTCATGGTATTCATATAAAACCTACACTTGGGAGAAGAAGCTGGGAAAAGAGTGGCAATGAAAGAGAAAGTGACCCTTAAGGAGATGGATTGACATGGTGACTCTCACAGTGCGTTTGAGCATGTCAGAGCTTGGAGGATGTGCAGGACAGGGCAAAGCCCAGATCTGTTGTTTATGGGGTCATTATGAATCATAGTCATCTCAGTAACAACAACAACCCAAAACTGTGTGTCCTGTTCTGAGTGGAACTCTTGTATTGGACAACATACAGAACACGCATACCTAGAAGCTACCATAACTTTTTAAAGTAGTTCTTTTTACTCAGATGTTCCCCCAGCACAAGCCTTCTTGGTTTGGTTTCACTTTCTGTTGTAGGGATGCCAGTTAACTTGGGCTGAGAGATGATGTTCCTTAACCCTGGGGTGATGTCTTAGCCACAGTTCAGCCCAGGATGTCACTACTCATTGTTTCTGGGTTAAGAAGTGTCCCCTTGAGCCCAAGTCTACTTGAACTGCTTGACGAGATGAGCCACCAATCTGTGGTCACCACTTAGGGCCAGTGCCAGGGCTTTTCTTCCCAACACCAGAATGCTGGGAGAGTATCCAGTGAGGTCATCTTCTTTCTCTCTGATCGTTGCTATCTTATTTGGACATTCTCTCCTCTCTACCGCAGTTGAGAGCATAGCCCACCCCTGTAAAGGTCTTGGTTTTGTTTTCTAGGTAAATAAGAATGACATCAGGAAGAAAGTGAGACGGCTAATGGGGAAGTCCCACATCGGGCTTGTGTACAGCCAGCAGATCAATGAGGTGCTTGATCAGCTGGCAAACCTGGTAAGTACATCGTCACATCCGGATCGTTCCTTAGATTCTCCTTACATTGTACTTGTCATCCTCTCAGACTTGACCTTTCTGGCCAGTTTCACCCACAGGTCGTTTCTTTTTTTTTTCTTTTTTTTTTTTTTTTTCACAGGTCGTTTCTTGACTTATATTGCTGAAGAAACCATTCCTCCTTGCTTTGAAAAATGGGGAGAATAGTCTTTGACTCCAGTCTAGACTTTACTCCTCTGTTCTGTGATAGGGTTCTCTGTAGTAAAACCACTCCACGTATAACAGCTTTCAGCATGTGATCTTCAGACCTTTGAGTGTCCTCAAGGTCAGAACGGTGTTCAGGTCATGTTGTTAATAATGTGCTGTCAACTTGACTACCACTCATAACAACCTATGAACCACAGATCTGAACCTTGCCCCACCCTGCACCATCTCATGATCTCCGATAGGCCCCAGCCTATTGTTACAGTCACTGTGCCAATCCATTGTGTTGGGAATCTTCTCTCTTTCTCTGACCCTCCGCCTTTACCAGCATGATGTCTTTTTCTAAGGAATGATCCCTCCTGACTACATTCCCAAAGTATATGAGACAAAGTTACACCATCTTTGCTTCCAGGGAACAGCCTGGTTCCACTTTCTCCAAGACAAACTTGTTTGTTCTTTTGGCAGTCCAGTCATCTTCTCCAGCATCACAATTCAAAGGCATTTATTCTTCTTCAGTCTTTCTCATTACTTGTCCAACTTTCAGATACAAGGGAAGCAACTGAAAATACTATGACTTGAATCAGGTGCACCTTAATCTTTAAACTGACGTCATTGCTCTTTAGTCCTTTGGAGAGTCGTTGACAATGCCTTTCTCACCGTATTGCTGTTTGCACTGATGGTGATAAAACTGCTGGCACCTTAACACAAATTCAGGCAGTGACACCAAACCATGAAGATAGCTGTTGTGTTCTTCACCATCACATGTTCTCAGTTAAAAAAAACAAACAAAATCCAGTTTGACTTATGAATTTCCTTGATGAAGCTGTTAAAAGAATTCATTTTATTAAATCTTGATCATTAGTTTTGCATCTTTTTTATGTACTGTGCATCTCTGAATCATTTCTGCTCTAAGACAGGGTATGATGATTATTTGGAGCAAAGTAGTTTGCAGTAGTTAAAGTCACAGGTAAACTACCAGCTGCTTTGTTCACTTTGTGAACATGATTCTTACTTGAGGAAATAACTGACAAACTCATTATTCGGAGATGGGTAGTTGGAGAATATTTTCTTGGTGATTAGTAAAGTGAGCCCAAGAGAGCTTTGGTGGCCTAGTGGCAAGAAGCTGCGCTTCAATCCCAGAGGTGCACAGTTCAAATCCACCAGAGTCTCTGCTAGAGGAGGGGCAATCTCCTCCTGGGCCAGTCAGAACCAATTTGACAGGATACAACAAGAAGGGGGGCGGGGGAAGTGAGCCTATTGTGTCCAGGAAAATAATTAGAAACATGTATCTATGTAGAAAGATGGGCACTCTCTTCCTGTGCAACATTATGTCCTTGAAAACCGGCTGGAGCGTCAGCTATGAGTCAGTTCAGACTCTGGTAGTAAAACACACACACACACACACACACACTCACACTCACTCTTAATTTTTGCCAGTAATAAGATTTTCTTTTTTCTTTTGCCAATGATAAAATTCAAGATTTTAGGTTAAAACAGATTTTTCTCACAGTACCGATGATTCTATTATATGAATGTGATACTACGTTGTGTCTGTGAACTGATCTTTTGCAAATGGCCAGTGTAATCTCAAATACAGAGTAAAAGATCCACTCAAAATGTAATGGATTTTAATGAAACAGTATCTAAATTAATGATATGTTTACATTCCATATTGCAACTAATGCTCCTTGTTGAATGTTGGTTTTATATCAAAGAAGAATCTGCACATTTATCTTAAAAGGCTATTAAAATACCTTTCCCATATCTAAGTACCTATCTGTAAGGCCAGATTTTTTTTCAATACCTCAACCAAAGCAAAACATTGCAAGAGCCGAAACAACACTTTTCTGAGAAAAGATAGTTGTTGTTGTTATGTTGTTATGTGCCGCCGAGTCGCTTGCGACTCATAGCGACCCTTTGTACAACAGCCCTAAACTCCGCTCTGTCCTGTGCCAATCGCACTGTCTCTGATACGCCCACTCCAATTATCCCAGTCACTGAATCAATCCACCTCGTAGAGGGCCTTCCTCTCCTGCGCTGTCCGTCCACCCTCCCAAGCATGGTGTCCCTCTCCAAGGACCGGTCTCTCCTCACAACATGTCCAAAATATGTTAGACGGAGCCTCAAATTCCTTGCCTCCAAGGAGCCACCCGGTTTAACCCTTTCCAGGACAAATCTGTTTGTTTTCCTAGCAGTCCATGGTATTCTCAATACTCTTCTCCAGCACCACAGCTCAAAGGCATCAGTTCTTCTTCTACCCTCCTTGGTCATTGTCCAACTCTCTGATGCATAACAAGTGATTGTGAAGACCATAGCCTGTATCAGATGCACCTTAGTCTCCAGAGTGACACCATTGCTCTTCAGTACTTTAGAGAGGTCCCTAACAGCAGACTTTCCCATGGCAATGCGCCTTTTAATTTCCTGGCTGCTGGTGCCAAAACTGTTGACTATGGAGCCAAGCAAACTAAAGCTGTGTACAATCTCAATCTCTTCACCATCCATCCTGATGCTGCCAATTGGTCCAGTGGTGAGAATCTTTGTCTTCTTGACATTGAGTCTCAATCCATATTGTAGGCTGCAGTCCTTGACACTCTGCAGCAGGCGCTTCAGGTCCTCTTCAGTTTCAGCAAGCAGGGTTGTGTCATCCGCATAACACAGGTTGTTAATAAATCGTCCACCAGTCTTGACCCCACATTTCTCCTCATAGAACCCAGCCTCCCGAATAATCTGTTCTGCATATAGGTTGAAAAGGTATGGAGATAGGATGTATCCCTGACGTACGCCCTTCCCAATTTTGAACCATGCAGTGTTCCCTTGCTCTGTTCTAATGACTGCCTCCTGGTCCAAGTATACGTTTCGCATTAGAACGATCAAGTGTTCTGGGATTCCCATTCTTCTCAGAGTCAACCATAGTTTGTTATGATCTACACAGTCAAATGCCTTTGCATAGTCAATGAAACACAGATAGACATTCCTCTGGTAATCCCCTGCTTTCAGCCAAGATCCATCTAACATCAGCTACAATATCTCTAGTACCACGACCCCTTCGAAACCCAGCCTGGACTTCTGGTAGTTCTCTGTTGATGTGCTGTTCCAGTCATTTTTGGATAATCTTCAGTAAAATCTTGCTTACATGTGAGATTGTTCTGTAGTTTCCACATTCTGTTGGGTCACCTTTCTTTGGGATAGGAACAAATATCGATCTCTTTCAGTCAGTTGGCCAAGTGGTCATTTTCCAGATTTCTTGGCACAACTTGGTGAGCCACGTCCAGGGCAGCATCTGTTAGCTGAAATACGTCAATTGGTATACCATCTATTCGGGGGGCCTTATTTTTTGCCATTTCCTTCAAAGCAGCCTGAACTTCTTCTTTCATCACCATAGGCTCTTGCTCATATGTTGTTTCATGAAATTCTTCTGTGTTTTCCAATTCCTTTTGATACAGTGACTCAGTATATTCCTCCCATCTTAATTAATTAATTAACAAAATAAAATAAATTAGGCTTAGTGGTCGTATTGAGCCTGATGGAACCCCTGAGAGGATAGCCCTCCATCACTCTCTGAACCTGGAACAGAACTCACCTTTGTGACTGCACCTTCAGTCAGACAGCAGACCTGAAAGTTGACCACTAACACCAGGGAGCCACCCACAGTTGAGCCTGACCAACCGTGTAAGGTCAAAAGAACAGCACTTTCCCTGAGATAAAGGCCAGAAGGGGTAGAATAGAAGTATTAATGGAAATGAGAGTAGAGAGAGAGGAAATGAGATTATGGGGAGGAAATGAGAAAAGTAAAATTTCATTATGAATATTGTTAATATTATAAAACACAATGTGTATGAAGAGGTAACAGGAAAGTTAATTTGCTTTGTAAACTTTCACTCAATTGCAATAAAAGCATAAAAGATAATAAAAATGTTATTTTATATAACCATATAATAGATTTATTATTATTTTTTTAAAGTATTATTTTTAGTGACTCAATAAATTCTGTAAGCTTTTCTCAGTTTTTATTTCTAATATCTATAAATATAACTCAGATAAACAAAACCGCTTTGAAATCCTCTATTGCTTTAAGAGGTCTAGGGAGCCTGAGACCAGACAGTTTGAGAAGACTTTCCTTGTGGCCAGTGGCCAGCCGGTGAGACCGTGCTGACTTGAGAAGCAGTTATGAATTGAACTGCTGCATGTAGGGTTCTTGGCCCAGAGCTCTCTATGAGAAGGATTTTTTCATTGTCCCTAAAAGTATTCTTTTTCCCCAGAATGGACGTGATCTTTCTATCCGGTCCAGTGGCAGCCGGCATATGAAGAAGCAGACATTTGTGGTACATGCAGGAACAGACACCAACGGAGACATCTTTTTCATGGAGGTGGGTACTAACCCAGAAACCCGGTGGTGCAGTGGATAAGCAGTTGACTGCTTCCCAGAATGTCACCATTTTCAAACCCACTAACTGCTCTGCAGGGGAAGAAATACAGTGATCCTATAAAGATTACAAAGATTACAGTCTTGGTGCAGTTCTGCTCTGTCCTTGGGTCTGTCAAGTTGAAATTGACTTGTTTGTTGGCAACAGATTTGATTTGGTTTTTGGTAAGGTGCTGATTTGTGCTGAGGGTCAGAGCAACATGTGAGCGTCACAAAGAACTCCCAGAACTGAGGCCAGAAAGTATATTCCACTTCTCTCCTTTATGATTCCATTTATCAGGCCATATTTAAGCTGTTATGAGAGTTATATTCCGATATTCAGTAACAACCAACCATTTCAAAAATATATATAATCATTGCTTTGTCCATAAGCAGTGTAATAGTCATACCAGTATAACGTGGTATACACCTTGAGAAATCTTGCTTTCGTTATTCTCTCCTGAAATTTCATTTCACAACCACTTCACCCCTTCTTCTGATAAATAACCTTGGTTTTTCCCCCCTTCTGTATCTTCCAGTGGTTTTAAGAAAATACTTGCACAAAAATATATTAAAAATATTCTTATTTTTCTCTTTTCTCATAAAAAGATAGCACATTGAGTTATACCTTACCACTTTTTAAAAATTAAATATTCTGGAACTCTGTTACTAACAAGAAGAGCTTTCTCATTCTTTTTAGAGCTACATAGAATTCCATTGTGTAGTTGTGCCATCATATATTTAACTAATTATATGTGGATCCTTGGGCAGCTTTGGAGTCCTTGGGTCATGCAATGGTTAATGCTCTTGCAGCTAACCAGGAGCTGGGAGTTTGAGTGTAATCAGAGGCACCACAGAGTGCTGTCATCCAAGAATGACACATTTCTGTATATGCAAGTATATTGGTATGAATTCCCGGAAGCAGTGTTGCGGGGTCAAATGTTAAACACAGATGTCATTTTGATGGATATCGTCCACTACCATCCACAGAGATTGTGGTAGTTGAAATCAAATAGGTGAAAAATGGTCCATTAGTATAATTTTCAGTTTGCACTTTTCTAGTGATAACTGAGGTTGTACATTCCCCCCATGTTTAAGGACTGTTTGTATTTCTTTTCCTGTGAACTGTTCATGTACTTTGTCTAGTTTTGGTTGCTGGTCTTCCCCACCCCCTAATTTTTAGGAGCTCTTTATGATTAGGGAAGCTAGACGTGAGTCTGTGCTTTGAGTTGCCAGTATATTTTTCCAATTTATTGTTTATCTTTTTAAAAAACTTATGTTATAGAAAAGTTCTAGGGAGCTCTGGTGGCCTAGTGGCAAGACGCTGCACTGAAATCCCAGAGGTATGCGGTTCAAAGCCACCAGATGCTCTGCTGGAGAAGGAGGGGGCAATCTCCTCCTGTACCAGTCGGATCTGATTTGATGGTACACGTAAAAAATAATACAATAAAAAAAATAATAGTACAATAAAAATTTTAAAAAAGTTCACAAATAATGTAAATGCCAAAAGAATGGTTTCATGAATGCCCCTATGTCTCCTATCCATAAACACATGGTCAGTCTTTTTTCAGCTGTACCTGCCTTTTTTCCTGTCATGGGATTATGTGGAAGCAAATCTTAGACAATGTATCACTTTGTAGATAATGCAGTTGGCACTCAGCTCTCCACCTCAAGAGTTGGCAGTTCAGCACCCCTGTGCCTGGATGAGCGGCCCTCTGGGGTAGGTCTGCTCCGGCACATGGGCTGCGACAAGTTGGAATTGACTCAGTTGGTTTGGTGCATATAATTCTGGTAGATAAGGATTCCTTTTTAAAAATACAACCATAATACCATCCCCACACCTAAGATATTTCCTGATCTTCAATCAGTGTTTAGATTTCCTGAATGTCTCATTTCATTTTTTACAGTTTATTCCTTTGCATTAAAATATAAATAAGATTTATATATTAGGTTTGACTGAGACGATGCTTAAGTATCTTGTTATGTGCAGTTCACTATGACTCCTAGTGACCCTGTGAACAGTGGCTCTGAACCTTGCCCTGTCCTGAGCCAGCTTTCTGTCTCTGACACACCTAACCCCGCTGCCACAGTACCATTTCCCGATTCCCTTTTCTTTCTCTCTTTTTCCTTTACCCTTTATTTTATTGAGGAAATTGGATCATTTGTCCTGTGGAGTATCCCCCCAGTCTATAATTTTTTGGATCTTATCTCCTTGGTATTGTTTAACATGCTTGCCACTCATCTTTCTTATAAATTAATTCAGTCTGGGTGTCTATCCCGTTTCCAGACCAAGATTTTGGCAGGAATCTTTCATAAGTGATGCTGTGTGCTTGCTGCTACGTCATCTGGTTGCCTCTCTCCTAGTGACCCGTCGGGCTCTGATGTGAGCGTTGTACCATCCATCCGTCTTCTGGTTTTGCATCTGGAGGTTCTTCGGTTTTGTCTTGCCATGAAAGAATTTTTTATGTAGTTGAATGAATCCATATTCTATTTTATGGTTTGTGGATCTTTTTAAATCATACCTAGGGAAAAATCCTTCCTTCCTTCAGAGTTAAAAAAGAGACTGACCATGCTGTTTTCATTTATGTATTTTTAAATCTAAATTGTATCTCTTCTCAGGAGCCACATAAATCTACAGAGAGTAGTGAAATGATTTATTGAGGTTATTTACTCCTCTTTGACCCAGTGGAATGTTATTTTTATGTTTGCATCTTTCTGAATTGGCACCCTTACCAAACACAAGAGTTCTGCTCTGAAGCAGAAATGTACACATTGATATCACTGAGAGGGACTCAGGTTCACATGACCCCTGTGGCGTGCTGGGATTTGGCTGTGACTCGTGGAGCTGAGGGTTACCTCATGATATCTGCAGTAGTAGAGTAGAGATGGCAGGGTATTCTTGCATTTTCCTTAAAAAAAAATTTTAAAAAATATATTTAAAAGAAGAGCTTTCGAAGTGTAGAACTCACTTTTACCACCATGCAAGGAATCCTCAGACTCAGTCTGTGAAGCATAGAGTTGGAGCCAAGCCTCATGGATGCCTATCTCTTGCAGTAAGTAACGTACCAACATCTGTCGAGTACCATGAGGACCAGAACCTGACTTGACCTTTCTCAAAAAAGAACCTGTCCACACATGGTTAATATGTGACTAATACAATCGTTTGAGAATCCTTTTTAAATTATCTTTTTTGCTCACCTTTCTTTCTTAATTACAAAAATAAGACCCTTAAGTCTATAAATATTTCAAACCCTTAAGTCTATAAATATTTCAAACCATATTGAAATAAAGACAAAAATAAATTTCCCTTCACCACTTCTCATCCCTTCAATCCTTTTTCTCAGAGGAAATCTCTGTTAAATAGTGTTCAGAGACCCTTGCAGGTATTTTTAGAAAATGCATATTTGTATGACATGGATACAGGGAGCCACACAATTTTTTTGGAATGTTTTATTATTGTGGTTTGGGTGAAAGTTTACAGAGTAAATGCATTTTTCATGCAACATTTTTACATACTTTGTTTCATGACATTAGTTCTAATCTCTCAGTGTAACTGCATTCTCCCTGCCCCTTGTTTCCTGCTCCTTTATGCCTTGTGAGCTCTGTCTTTGGCCAAATGCTTCCTTTTTGATTGCTTGTAGTTGTTTGTTCTGAGGCGTATTTTCCTCATGCCTGTTACTCACGTCATAGAATAGTCCATTGCTTGACTAAAAAAGTAATTCCTGGGCATGGGTTCTATTCCAGATTTGAAGAGCGTCCAAGGGCCATACTTCTGAAAGTTACTGTCAGGACCAATAAGTCTGTTGGGGTTTTTTTTATGATTTTGAATTGTGTTCTACATTCTTCTCCTACTCTGTGCAGGACCTTCTAGTGTGATCCTGCTCAGTGCTTGGTAGTGGCAGCCAGTTGCCGTCAGTTCTTGTGGTATCAAGGTGTTAAGCCGCTGGCCTGTTTACCTTTTGAACTAATTGTTCCTCGAGGCTTTGATTTTCTTCACTCTTCTTTGCTCTAAGCAAGGAGAGACCAATCAATAGTTGAGTCTTGGATGACCACTTGCAAGCTTTTAAGACCCCACTTACTGCTCACCAAAGTAGGGGGTCAGATGTTGTCTTTGTGGTCAATGTTACGTTAGCTGACATAGATATTCTTCAGAAACTAACATCCTAAGCCCCCAAGACTCATCCCCTCCAGGTCTTTGGTTATGGTTAAGTTTTCATGACTTTGCCTCTTGCGTACTCTGCTAGATACATGAATATGTTTGCAACACATAAAAATACATATATAGGAATATTCTCTGTCAGACCTACATGTGATATACTCCCATTTACTTTCCTACACCTGTTCAGCTTACATGTTTACTTTTGGATCTACTATTGTTTGTTAGTATTGCTATTTTAGGTTTATGTATATAATAGTATTTACCTTTCTTGCCCTTAGCTCTGGTACATATCCTAGTACCTTCCTTTGCCTTGGTCATGTGCTGGACTCACCCTTATTATATATTGTTTTTATACTTGTCCTAGCTAATATGTGACAGCACTCTAGTTAGTGATTTTTCTCCCCGCTCCTACCCCACCCCATCTCTGGTAGCTGTGAAAGAATGTGTAAATCTTTCCTTGGCTTTTTATTGTCATAAGGGTCTCACACAATATTTGTCCTTTGTGATTGACCTGTTTCACTCAGCATGATGCCTCCAGGTTTATCCATGTTACAAGGTCTTTCATGGATTGTTATTCTTTCACATCGTGTGGCATTGTGGTATTGCATGGCATGTTTGTACCATGGTTTGTTTATCCATTTATCCATTGATAGGCACTTAAGTTATTTCCATCTCTTTGCTTTTATGAATAATACTACAATGATCAGGAATGTGCATATACCTATGCATTGAATAAATATATGTCAAATTGTAGGATTGCTGGATTGCAGGGTATTTTTATTGCCAGCTTTTTAATGTTAAATGTA